TTAACAAAAATGTTAACTCAAGTACCAAGAGTTTTGGAATTTCACTTTTTACATATAAGTAAAAAGTGGAGTAGACATGTGTATGATGTGAGATGGGGATCCAGTTATGCCAATGCCAGAACTCTTTTGAAAATATCTTATTTCCTATTGCAAATTATCTATCAATTTATCATGTAAAAATAAATTTGTTTTCAGCTTCTGCATCTATCTTTCTGTGGTTTTTTATTTTGTTTTGTTTTGATTTTTGTGCTGGGTATTAAACTCAGAGCATTTTCACTGACCTATGTCCCAGCTCCTATCTATCTATCTATCTATCTATCTATCTATCTATCTATCTATCGGTCATCTATCTATCTTTGAGACAGAATGTCACCACATTGTGAAGTTGACCAGAGTAGGATCAAACCTGTGATTCTCTCTGTGCTGAGACTACAGGTGTGTGCCTCTACGCAGATTTATCTCTCCTTTAATAACTCACCAGCTTTAATTTCACTTTTCCTATAGTGCATTTTTTTCAGTTACTCTTTCAGTGAACATGTACGAGTGGCATTCTCTTTGACTGAAAAATCTCTTTTATCATCCTCTTTGTTGAATTTTAATTTAAAATTTTTATTTGAGGATATTTTATATTTAGTGGATTTCCCTAAATACTTGTCTTAAAATATTGCTGAATGAATATACTTTGTGTAAAGCTTTTCTTCTTTCTTCGTCTTTCTACTTCTATGATAATTTGTTTTTTAATAGTAGTTCCCCCTCACCAAGAAATTCCCTGTAAGAAGACAACCGAGATGGCAAATTCAGTTTCTAATCTCTCTTCCTTCAGTCATATTTTTTCTTTTGCATTTGTTGTTTTCTTTTCCTTCCTGGAAATTGGATGCTTGTGGGAGAGCTGAGATCTATATCATAAGCTCATTCACTTGGCATGAACGTGGCCAAGCGTGGTATGAGATAGGAGCAAATTGAGCATTTCGGCTATGAAAGAAAAATTATTGGCATAAGGAAACAAATGCAATGAGCCAGAAACTGGTTCCAGCTACACCAGTATGACAAATAGTTACAAAATCTAAAATGACCCACAGAGATAAACAAAATTGGACAAAGGCATTTTATATAAGCCAATAAGTCTTTCACTCTACTCAGAAATTATAGGTCTGGAATGTGGAGGTTGTAGAACGTTAATAATCCTTGTCCCAAAATAAATAGTTAATGTCCAATTTATAGTGCAAGAAAATTAGTTCTGTAAAAGAGAAGAAACTTGCCAATATCAATTGCCAAATAAGCAATACTGCATAGCTAGTCAGCCAGGCCTCTCTCAGGACCAAATATCCTGGCCTCTTCAGCAAATGAAAGGTTATGAAAACGTTTCTAAGGTGTTAGAGTTAAGAACCTGCCTCCTGCTAAACATACTGTGACAAAGGAGAACATCTTAGTATCCATCTTCTACTTAGTTTCCTTACAGCACCATAAAATTTCAAATAACCCATGAATGGGCTCTAATGGTATATTGAATTTGAACTTATTTTCAAATCTTAAAATGTATAAAGTACAAATAATCTTTTATATAGGTGATAAATTGCTTGACAATAACCTAAGGAAGGCCAGAAAGGTAAGGTATTTTATCAGTATAAATTAATATCAGCTTACTTCCCAGAAACATTATCAGACTAGTTAACATTGAACATTTGTTGTATGCTAAACTTTGTAGTATTTTACATGGAGTGGTTATTTAGTCTGGGCCGTAGATACATAAAGTATATGTTAGTATCATCATTTTCTTGTTATAGGAAAGCAAAACATGGTTCAAAGAGACTAAAGAATTATTTTGTCAAAGTGGTGGAAATGTATTTTTAACTTAGTCATATCTGTTTTGTTCCAGTTAAGAGCCTTCCTTTTTACATTTTGAAATAATCCCACTTGAAAGTTCTCTCTTATGTTTGATATCATCTACGCTATTTTTATCCTCATGAAAGTTTACTGAATAAAAATGATGTAGGATGGTATTTTCCTTAGATGAGACTCCATGTTTCTAGCATAGAAAACCAAAGCTAATATTAATGGTAACACAGGTAGATAAGGTGCTCACTCCCACATGAAAACTGGAGCCAGGGAACATCTTGCGCTCATTGGCTCAGCTTGGGCTGTGGCTGTGCCTGATTAGTAGCCACAAATTGTGGTGGTGGGGGATTGACAACTCAGATTGCACTCTGGGAAATTCCTGAAGCCATGAATAGCACAAAAATCAGACCAAAACCGAGTCCTTCTTCTGGGAGCAGTAAGAAATGGGAATGTAGAAGCTTAGGAAGATGAAGAAATAAATTAGAGTCCAACAAATGAAATTCTTATTTCCCTTCCCAGTAAAAGACTGACAGAAATGACATCTTAAGAACAAATTATGGTTAGATTTCACATCTTAAAAATATTTCATAGATGATGATATATTAGTTATCAATTGCTGCATCATGACAAGTTATACCAAACGTGAACTACTTTAAGGAGTATTTCTGTAGTTTGTAACCAGGGTGTGGGTTAGCTGGCTCGGAGTTGCTACTCAGGTTGCAGCCAGACTGCTGACTGGGGATGTGTTTACTTCCAAGCTCACTCACATGGTTGTTGGTAGAATTCAGTTCTTGATAGGCCATTCGGCAGAGGACCTCAGATCCTTGACAAGTGGCCTATCCATAGTGCAGCTAGTTTCTCTCAGAACAAATATGTAAGAGAGGAAAGCGAGATGCCTAAGATGGTCTTTGTATAACCTCATTTTGGAAGCAACATCCTATCATGTCTGCTGCACGTTATTCTTTATAGCTGAATCACTAAATCCAATTCACACTGAAGGAAAGAAGATATGGTTTAGATCTAAAATTTGCCCCAAAGTCTCATGTTCATCCACGGGGCTTTTGAAAACTAGTTGGATCATAGGGGTGCTGAACGTGCTGCTAGGAGGTAGAGCCTGGTTGAAGGAGGTAGTCACTGGTAGCATGACCTGGAAGGATGTATGCTTGTATTTCTCTCTGCTTCCTGGACATATGCAGTAAACAGCTTCTCTCCACCATGCCCTCCCACCATACCGTTTCTGCCTTGGAGGCAGTCTGCCATGGACTGAATCCACTGGAACTGTTTACAAATTAAACCTTTCCTCCTTAAGTTTCCTCTTTAAACCTTGCCTCTTTTGTCTCAGCAACAAGAAAGTAAGTAATACAGAGGATGACAAAAGGCATTATTACCAGGTATTTTATTACCAGGCATTATTACCAGGCAGGAAAGAGGTGAGGATTTGGAGAGCTATGGTAGGATGAATGTTAATTCTCATTCCCAGTGTAGTGGAGTTTTAAGATGATGTCCAAGGAGGTAATCAGGAGAGAAGGGTGGGAACTTTGTGAATGGGATTAATGCCCTAAAGGGACATAAGAGTTTGGTCTCACTCACTGCCATGTGTACAGTGAGAAGAGGGCCACTTTCAAACCAAGAAGAAGCCCTTATGAGACATCTATCTCTGCTAGCAGTTTGATCTTAGACTTTCTACCCTTCAGAACTGTGAGAAATAAATGCTTGTTGTTTAAACCACCTGAAACTTTGTAAGATGTTTTAGCAAACTGAGCTGACTATGAAAGCTCCATCTTGATAGTTATGTGGCATGGTGTGTGTGTTTGTGTGTGCATGCATGTAGATATATAAGTTCTCAGGGACAGTGAGTGTGTATACTATGGGGCTAAAAGTGTGTTGAGTTCATATGCATTTTCCTGTTAGAAACACTTGGAGAAGTCTATTGTATTGGTTTTTGCAGTAGTCAGAGTCCAGAGATGAGGTTCATGAGTTGGTCATCTGAGCTGGCTTACAAGAGGTATTTACAAAGATATTATGGCCATAGATAGGAAAATGACAAGGAATGTGCTCATAACAGGCTGGCATATCATTACCCCCAGGCCTCCAGCAGTAAAATTAAGGAGAAAGAATCAGAACCTAAAGAGAATATTTGCTTGAGAAGGCCTTAGGAGCTACAACTTTTTGTTACAGGCATCAGCAGCCCAGGGTGTTTGCACTGGCCAGGTGCAGGGGAGTAGAAACCTGCCTTTCCTGATTGTCAGTTCTTTTGTGGGCACTATTCACTGGGTACAGCTGAGGGTGATGGAGTCCACTGATAACGTCAATGTAGATCAGCCCTCTGGGGCATATAATGAAATGGAAGTAGTGCAGAATAGATCTGGAGACATGACTAGAAGATACTACAGAAAACAAATGTGCTTAGGAGGAAAATTCTAACCACAATAGGCAGGGAGGGAAAGAGAGGCTTACAAGAATAGATGTTGTTTAGAGCAGGCTATATGGAAGACTTTGCTGATAGAGAAGAATATTTGACATCAAAACTGACTTTCTAATAATTGCATCTCTTAAAGGCCTTTAAAAATAGGAAGCACATATCCATGGCTATGAAGCAATTTGGGAAAAACAGCCCTGATGAAAGGAATGCGAATGGCTAAGATGACTTTGAAGGGTCCTTGTAACTTGAGGATTCAGTGTTCCAGGAGGAGTGATGGAAATCAGGGAACAGGATCTCCTGCAAAATACTCACAACCCTTTGAAATGGAAATTAGGCTGTTCCAATTGAGGAATCAAATTAGGGCAAATATTCAGGGTGTTAGCAAGCCGTGCTCAAGCCTGTTTGAAGCCACCACTACATGAGGGAAGTGTGCTTTTTTTCCTGGATGAAGCAGGATCCCACTCAGTCTGTTTTCATCTTTACTTAGCACCTGCTGGCTTGGAGTGGTGTCACCCAAGCAATCAGACAGAGGATCTGCCAAGAGCCTGACCTCCCCAAGTCTGTTGCCCCTCCCCCCACACCCCATGACAGCCTGTCCTGATATAGATGGACAGAGGACTGGTTTAAAATGACAGTCTCAAGTTCTTTTAGGAAGAGAAGACTAATTCAAAGAAACAGCCAGACACACTTCCTTTCTTTGTAGGAAGAATTACTTGTCTCCTTTGCCATGGCCCACCTGGGAGCCCATTTTGCCTTTAGATCCCGCTGGCAGAAGACCGATGACGAGCTCTGTCGACATAGCATGTCCTTTATCCTGCACAGAGCCATAAGGAATGACTTCTTTCAGTGCTACCTCTACCTGCTGGAAAAAATTCCCCTGGGTAAGTGAGGCAGAGCTACTGGACAAGGGACAGGAAATGACTACAGGGAGTGTGTGAGGTTGCGGGACACCTGGAAGAGGTGTTAGAAATGGATACTTTTCAGATGCAAAGAATCCACTGCCAACATATATGGGTCCAAGTACTTCAATGGCATTCTTTTGTGGCTAGTCAAAGATCAAGTCTGCCTGGTAAGGCAGGATTCTGTTTTGGGATGCCCATGCACCCTTATTTACTGTGATTTCCTTATATCAGGCTGATAGAAACTCATTTCTTGAGTTTTGAAGGATAGTTTTAATTTTTGCAAAAATGTGAGTAAATGAGATAACTGAAAGGTGGTGGTATTAATTAATAATATGTAAAGTACTAGTTAAGAAGAAAGACTAAGTAACAATGCATCAAACTGTGCTTGGTGTGTATGTGAGTGCATGTGTGTGTGTGTTTGCATGAGTGTGTGTTTCTATGTGTGTGTGTGATCATCTCTGTTCTTCCTGAGTCACAGAAGCCCTATAAGGATCAGTACATGTTTGACCTCTGTATATTAAGAATTTAGGGTAGTAGTCTTTCTTCATTTCTGTTATTTCCTCCTGTTTCCAGGGAATTAGACAACGTAGCAATAAATAAATAGCTTGTCTGCACTACTTTTCTGAGCTTCTGTGAGGGTAGTTACTTTAGGGTACTCTAAACATCACTGAAGAGGAAACGATTTAGGATTATAGACTGAAGTGCCACTCCTACCCCTGATTTATACTTTCTCTCCATGAAAGCAGAAACACTGTCTCAGCGCGGTCTGTTTTCTTAAGGTGTTCTGAAAGCTCCATTGTGCACTTGATACCACTCCAAATTTCCAGCTGTGGAAAGGGCTGCATAATTCTTTGTACTGCATTTGGGAAACTGGATATGAGCTTCTTATTAAAGGCTCATTTTGAAGTTTGAAGAGCTCTTTAATTCTCGATATATACATCTTTGATTTTGATCTTTATATAGCTTCCTTATAAAAGGTTTTTATCATTTATAACTTAACTTAATCCGTATAGCCACACTATGAGTTAGACAGTATAAATATCACTACTTCCTACTTATCTTTTCCTGCCTCTTCTCTCCAAATTTATTTTTCAGATGAAGGAAAGGAAATTGAAAGATCATGCTAACTAGTCCGGGGCTCTTTCTGGTAGAGAATACTGCCCACAAGTCATTCTTCTTGGACATATTATGCTACATTTCACCTATATTCAAGCAGAAAAATTACATGAGTTCATTTGGGAGGTGATGATGACCTGGAGACTTCATACTTGGCAGAACCATTGCTTTTCTGGAGATACTCTTCAAGGTGTTTCTCAAATAGGGCAATTTGTTAGCTGTAGCTGCTTTACTCTGAAGAGAGCTGTCAGTCATAGCAACAAAGAACAGACTCACTAGTAGGTGGATGACATCTAAACTTTAAAAGTAATTACTGGAAAGAAAAATAATACATCTCTCAAGGCAGCTGATGATAAATTAAGTTTATAAGAATCTCTTCTAAAATCAGACAACATTACCTTGGGACAAATAAACTATAGTTTGCATATGGCCACAATCCTTTTGCCCACTCATAACCTACTCCCTTTGTTTGTGAGTGTGCTGATAGCTTGTCAGTTATTTCCAGCCTTTTAGAAAACACTGAGCCTGGGCATTACTTTTCCCAGAGAGTCACTAAGTTGGCCCTAGCCACAATACCTCTTTGGTGATAGAAGCTGAAGTTGGTGTGTACTAGGCTGTGCTTCAATAACAAATTAACTTGGAAATGTCAATGACTAAACACAAACATTTGCTTTTGCTACATCATTTTCAACATGCATCATTGTAGCAGTGGAGCCTTTACTCTCCATAGCCACGTAGCAATCCAGGATGATACCTTCTTCATCAGCTAGAATGTCACTAGTTGTCAAGAAGAAATATAAGCTAAAGGGCTATATGCTAGCTCTAAACCCTAGGGCCACAAAAGACATGCATCTCTTTAGAGTTCACTGTCCAGGCCCATAAAATTCTGAGCAATGTGAAGGGAACACCTGTTATCTGATCATTAACTGTTTCTTCCACAAGGCAAAACCACTACTTTTTAGAAACAGACACTTCTATGTGATCAGTTCAGTCCTATTCAACTCAAGAGAAATTTATAGAATTCTTATTATGCAAAACTACGTATTGGACAAGATTCAAACATTAATAAGACATAGTCTCTGTTCTGCAAAGTTTTATTATCTGGCAGTGGAAAGAAAATCTATAAATAATTTTCTATCCTCAAATGCTTTAAATTAATGGTACAAAGAAGGCAAGTTGTTATTTCTGTAAAGAGACTTTCTGCAGTTTTCTTATCATTGCAGAAGTTTAATCAGCATGTAAGTCTAAAGGGTGACATATCTGATTAGAAAGGTTTCCCAACATGATTAACTCACTTAAATATGGGTTTTTGTCCCAGGAGATTATAACTTGTACTTGTTATACTGCATGTCTAATCTCCCCTATTGGATTCTAGTTTCTGTGAGTTAAGAGATTCATCTATTTTTTTTTCATTCTAAGCTATATATTTAGCTTTTACCATGGCTCTTGACACCTAGAAAAAACTCAGTAAATATCTACTAAGTGGATTAAATATACTCTTACTAATCATTAATTGTAGGTCACTAAAGTATTGAATTTATATGATCCATTGCTACTACTATGGGAGAAACTTCTCAGAATCATTTCCTTCAAAGCTCTTGCAGGGCTGTTTGAAGGGTTAAATGCAGTATATACGTGAAAGCAATCAATGTTCAACAGATATTAGTTACTTCCTTTCTTTTCTCATCTAGTCCTCTTTTAAAACCAACACATAGCATTTTCTAGAACAGACATTGCCCAAAATAATAAGCTTACTTCAGTATATGAGAATTTACAGGCTGCAGCAGATACTATGCTTTTCATATTGGAAATGAAACTCAGCCAGCAGTGATGCTTCTCTCCCCAGCTCTGGGGAGGTGTTTTGAAGTGGGCTTTCCCTACTCTTGATGATCTCAAGATCTCATAGAAATGAAAATAAAGCCCTTCTTTCAAAAAAGTTGGGGAACCCCTCCTGTACAGTCGGCACAGAGAGTTTGTTGTTTAGAGCAATTATGGAAAGAGCTATTGCTCACCAGCCTGTTTGATTTCTTCTTTCCTTCCTCCCTCCTTCCAGCAGCCTGTGCTGGGCAGCTGGTTTCCTGCCAGCATTCTATGTGGCGACATTCAGTCATGGAGAAACTTGCAGTAATATTCCTGGTCAATTTCAGGAATCCACAGAGCAGCACAGACATTCCAAAATCTCTAATGGAAGATTTAGTGATGCAGTTGAACATAATAGATCTTCAGGAAAGAAAAGAAAAAAAGGAACCAGCTTGTCACTGTTTTTAGTGTTTTGCATTTATTATCTGAGTCCATCTTCACAACATCTCTATTAGGATTATTATTTTTCCCATTTTATATTTGAGGAACTGGTGCACAAAACAGTTAAGTAACTTGCCACAGATTTTATGGTGGTGAGTGGCAGAGCAGGACCAGAACCTGGGCAGTTTTGCTCCAGTCTTTTTAACCACTATGTCATACCATACCTCTGTGTAAGTGGAAACTTGTTGGCAGCTATGTAAACTTACCATAATTTTTTATTTGACAGAAATAGAAAACATGGTGATGAGCACTGGCTATCTATTGGGATCAAGATTGGTAGGTCAGACAGTAGATTCATCCATCAAAGTATGCCACTCCTGTTCAGTTATAGGCTTGGAGCTAGCAAATTTTCCAAAGTGGCTGTTTTTGAACAAATAGGAAGCAGAATAAGCAAACAAGTGAGTGTAATTCTTCAGCTTGTATACCAGCGCTCAGAGGGACTGATGCATATCCTACCTAAAGATATTCGTGTACATTAATGCTCTATAGTGATAAAACTGTCCACATTTCTGAGTACACAGAGGTTGATAGTAATTGCTTCATTAAATAAGAGTTTATTACTTCTGGACATTTAAGACCAGTGCTTTACATCTGGATAGGCGTGCCTTGTGGCCTGAGTCAACACTTCTTTTCTACATAATGGTCAGTTACCAGGTCCCTCTGATCTCTTGTTACTCATTTATAAGATGAAGATTACAGCACTTGGCTTATGGAATCATCAGAACTAACTTGCAGGATTAAAAGAGGTAATGTGAGAGAACCAACCACAACACCTGTCAGGAAGTACTCAATAAATTTGGTACCCTTTTTTCATTCTTTCCATTTTAGCATAATCCATCTTTAAGGAGGAAAATCAGAATAATGGCTACTCCTTGTTTATCACAGTTGAAAGACAGAATTAATGAAAATCATTTTCTATGAAACACTTGGGTTTCCATAATGAAACTCATCATACAGCTACTGATATTTTTCAAACAATTTGTCCTTGTGATTGGAACTGTCCTGCCAAACAGCTTACTGTGATTTTTAATATCTTACTTTTTTTTTGGTACCAAACTCATAACCTCACGCTTGCCAGGCAGGTGCTTATGCCACTGAACTAAATCCCCAGCCCTGTCTTACACTTTTTAAACATGTATTAATGTTTATTATTACCTTTGCAATGTAAATTTCTCTTTAAAGAATGAAGGAAAACAATTTTCCTTTTTATTTAGCTGACATATTTTTAGGCACGGAGTATCAGGTGGGTAAGTTATGGGTTTGCGATTTAATTAGACCTAGATTCAAATCCCAGCATGCCACCCACTCGTTGCTTGACCTTGGAAATTTAGTTTAGCTTTTGCTGCCCTTGTTTCTTCTGTCAAATGTGTATATATTCGGTTATGTAGAAATAATTTGCTGTGCATTGCATATATACAAGCTTGGTCAATGATCACTCCTGTTTTATCACAATTATGAATGTATAGTAATTGTACAAAATAGTAGGAGTCATTATGACATTTTCACATGAACCTCTAACTTGCTCTGGCCATCTCCCATTATTCTCTCTTACTCACTCCTGCTTCCCCCTTCTGGGGTAGTTCTCCTTCATATCGTGCATCCTTTTGAGTCTGACTTATTTCATTTAACATAATGACCTCAGGTTCCATCCATTTTCCTCCAAATGATATGATTTTAGACTTCTTTATGACTAATAATCCATTGTTGAAATATACCCTATTTTCTTTATTCAACCATTGATGGGCGTCTAAGATGATTCCATAACTTAGGTATTGTGAATAATACTATATAAATAAGAGTGACAGGGAACTTTATATGATGAGGTGTGATCCAATAATATGGTGAATGTATAAATAAAAATGTATTGTGATAAATAATACATTACCATTAATCTCTCTCAAAATACTCTTCACTAACACATTTACTTTATGAATTCCCTTTTTTGTGTGTGAGTGTTTTTGAGAGTTGTGATTAAAAAAATACAGTGAGTACCCCTCCCAGTTGCATCCCAGCAGAAAGGCAGGCTGGTAAAATCAGCTTCCACTGCCTCCAGCTTCCACTGGATCTGGCACCGTGCAACTTCTGGCTCTTCCCCAATTGCAAGATCACCATGAAAGGGAAACTTTTTGAATCACCTAAATCCATCAAAACAGCTGTGAAGCATAACTAAAGACACAAAAGAGGACTTTAGAACTGTTCAGAAAGTGGCAAGAAACATGGGATAAGTTTGTTCAAAGCAAGGAACGGCATTTCAAGAGGAACTAATGGCAAAGTGTCTTTTGCTACAATCAGTTAAATTTTTTTCTAAAACACTGTACTTTTCACTCATACCTCGTATGTTAACTTTGATTTCTTTGAATATACACTCAAGAGTCGTGTAAGAGGATCATCTGGTAGTTCTATCTGTAGTTCTTTGAGGAACTTCCATACCATTTTCCATAGTGGTTACACTAATTTACGTTTGCCAACAGTGCACAAGGGTCCCTTTTAGCCCACATCCTCACCAGCACTTGTTAGTTTTTGCTGTTTTGGTAGTAGGCATTCTGCCCAAGGTAAACTGGAATCCTAATGCAGTTTTGATTTGCATTTCTCCGATGGCTAAAGATATTGAACATTTTTTCATATGATCATTGGCTATTTGTTCTTCTTTTGAAAATTGTCTGTTCTATTCATTTGTCCACATATTGATTGGATTATTTTCTTTTTGTGTTAAAGTTTTTGTGTTCCCTATGTATTCTGGATATTAATCCTGTCTGATGAATACTTGCTGAAAAGTTTCTCCCATTCTGTAGACAGTACCTTCATATCATTGTTTCTTTTGCCATGCATAAGCTTTTTAATTTGATGTGACCCTACTTGTCAGTTCTTGGGATTTTGGAGTTCTGTTGAGGAATATGTTGCCAACCTAACTCTAGAAGTACTTTTCTCTAGTAGTTTCAAGGATCTGGGTCTTATTTGATTTTTAAATTGATTTTTGTACATGGTAAGAGATAAAGATCTAGGTTTATTCTCCTACAAGTGGATGTGCTGTTTTTTTTTTTTTTCAGCACTGTTTGTTGATGAAGGTCTCTATCTTATTTTTAAAATATTATTTTGGTTCACTTAATAAGAAGAGAAGGTATTTCATAAAATGTAATGAAAATGTGATTTGTATGGCTTATATCAACTTTTCTGTGTAATTGTTCACTGTTTTGTGGAATCCACGTACTGTTTAAAGAACAAACATAGCATGTATTTAATGAGCATCCAAAGAAAGCTCACTGTAAGTTAGTTAAGTGTCATGGCAAAGTGCTAAGGTTACAGAAGCATGCAGTATAGTATAATCCTGCAGGGAGTTTAATATGGAAGAGACCTACAAAATAACAGTACAAAAATAGCATGAGAATACAGTAATAGAGTCTACTACTAAATTCTTCAAAGGTGCAAAGGAGGCATGGGGGATTTCTGAGTCTGATTCTAAAATGAAAAACTTCACCATGAAAAAACCTGTCTCCATTGTCTCTGCCTGATTTCTATTGTTTTAAAATGTTATAGTAGATTAAGGAGAGTGTTGAATAAGGAGCAGAGAATTAGGAAGATGCTCTGAAAGTGGGAGCGGTAGGATCTTGTGTGGATTCTTTGCTCTTTCAGACAAATAGATTGTCCCTCCTTGCCTTGGCTACATCATAAACACTGAAGCCTAAAAAGAAGTCAGAAAACATGGAACTAACTTTCACCTGAAAAGGCAGAAGCCCTGTATAACCTTCCAGATAGGTGGTGCATTAGTTTTTAGATAAGGAACAGAAGAAATTGAAAGCCCACAAGGAACAAAACATTCAGAGATCTGCCCTGAGAAATTCAAAGCTTGAGTAACAACAGCTTTCTGGTAGGCTGGCACACCCACACCTCTGGATTCCATAGGAAACATTGACAAAATGCCACATTTTCCTCCCCCTGATGAAAAAAGAGTGAAAGAGATTAGCAGTTTTTGAGCTTTTATTCTAAACCAAGTATCGCACTTACTAGACATGTTGGCATCATTTTATTTAATAATTTCAACAACTTTGTAAATAAACATCATCATTTGATAGGAGGAAACTGCTGATCACATTAGTTGTAAAGCTGGCAAGCAAGCACAAGATTATTTCCTTCCAAGATCATTCTGCCTATTGTCTCCCTCCTCCTTTCTCTGTGTTCCTCCCTCCTTCCCATCCTCCCTCCCTTTTCCCTTCCTTCCTTCCTTCCTTCCTTCCTTCCTTCGTTTCTTCTTTCCTTTCTTCCTGTCTGCCTGCCTTTCCATTTTTACCATTACCTATTTAATAGTTAAATTAGAAAATAATAATCTCCACATCTTTTTTGAAGGAACTTCCCTTCATAAATCTAATTGAGCATTTTTCCTTTATATAAAAGGGTTAAAGTAACCCAATATTCTGTGTCTCAAAAATGTTAAACTTAGCCTTTATCTTCTCTAAAGACTCAGGTTAAATGTTCAGTTGACAAAGAAGCTTGCTTCTGGAATAAAGATTAAACAGCTATATTTATTCATTAAGAAAGAAGAAAAAAAAGAGGAGATACTCTTCAGAGATGAGCACTTGTCAGAAATTTTCCATCTTATTGGCAAATTGAAAAATATTGCCTTGACTTTTAATGCTACCTCTGATGCTGGATCAATATCTCCTTTCAGCTCTATAGTATGATTTTGAGTTATTTTTAGTTTTCTCAAAAATTTAAGCTCAAAAGAGAGTAAAAATGATTCAATAGTACTTTATCTCAAGGTAAACTCAATTTTGCATCTTAGATTCAGAACTTGTGCAATAAAATTTTTTACCTACCTGCAAAAGACATGCTCAAAGGAGACTTTTGAAAAGTTTGCAATTTATCCAGAAGGTTCATAGCCAATGAAATTCCTTTTCTTTTTAAAAATAACCATAATAAGAACCATCCTTCACAGGAGTGATATTCTTTGAATTTTTCCCAAAGTGTTGGCTTCTGATGGATGCAGCACTTGCTATGTTATAATCTCCTTGAGACATGGATTGGCCTTCATATTTCTAGTTTCCTGAAGGTTGCATTGGTGCTTAATAAGTGAATATAGAAGAACTGATTGTTGCTCTACACCTTAGATATCCATCTTTCTTAGAAAGTTTGCAAAATAACTAACCTGTAAGTAAACTGATTCTTGTTTTAGGTATTCACCTTTTCTGGAAAGTTCACAAAATCTTTGTTTTTTCTCTTTCAGGACAAATGAGCTTGTACTCTATTGCTCTTTTTGTAACAAGCAAACAGTTGGAGGTCTTGGAATTCAGCTCATAATGCAGGTCATAAAATAAGTGCTATGTTATACCAAGAACTAACAGAGTGTCTAATTTCTGTCTTAGGCTACTTCAAGTTTCACAGAGCTGTTGCAATTGTATGAGAATGGTTCAATACATGTATTTCTGTAGTAAAAAGAAATAGGCTGGTGGCTAGCGACTGTCTTACCTGCGTCAACATGCTTCATTGCAGGAACTTTCAGGAAGGGAGTACCTGGGCGTAGCCATGATAGCTCATATCTTTGTTAGCAAAATATATCTGGCATTTAGGTGGAGATGAAAACTCAAGCCTGCAACCATGAAAGGCCACCTATCGAGATTGATTCCTACTGAGCTGGAAGTTCACTTGTGGTCTAAATGTTGCTGGCATCATGACCTGTTCTCATTTCGAGATCAAAGTTTGTGATAAACTGCACCAACCAGTTGATTTAAGCAGGTGATGATGAGTGTGGCTGCTTTGCTGCTTTGTTTGGAACATGCAGAGCATGGAGCTGTGGCTTTTCAGTGATACCAGAACAGCAAAGTGGGCAAACCCTGTAAGCTGTAATTTCCTAGCCTGATTTTAAAAAACTCAAAATTTGGAAAGGTCATGTTACTGTGTTAGTGATGCAGGACTTTTGTCAGCCTTGTTGAATTTATAAGCACTTTTTATGGTACCTGGTGTCTACACAACACCACTAAGTGCTACAGAGGGGGATTGATGTAGGTCATTGCTCCTACTCTGTTGGAATCTGAGGACCCTACTTTAGAAGTTGTATTTTCTCAGTCAGTAGCTAATTTGTGAAGATGATAAAACTTATATGTATTTATTAAAACTTTAAAAATATTTGTAGATTTAAAATACCACTCTATGTACAATAGTATGTATGTGGATATAACATATAATATTGATAATCTCCAAAAAATGACATATATGTGAAGAACAGTTTTTGCCATTTCAGGAAATTCATGATCAAGTTTCAAACAGATGGTTCTAGTTTCTTCAAAGTTGGAAAATACTGCTGTAACTCTATAGATGGGACATGTTCATAGTGATATGTGATGCTTATTGAATTTTTAACTTTTAGAATAAAAATTTGGTGCTATGTAATTGCTGTTTACTTCAGAGGCAAGTGGTACACCAGTTCAATGCCAAAACCTTTCAGTTATCTAAAGGAAAATGTTCTTAGTTAAAGTTAAATTGATTTTTCTTAGATTCCTGTCAATCAAAATATTGCATACTTTAGTTTGCTTCATCCCATGATTATGTTTTGAAATAATTGCATGTTTTGCTTAGAGCTTTTAACTCTCTTTTATTTTTGCCTATTGAGATGAAAACTGTATTTTCCTCAAAATATTACTAATGTCTTCTTATTTCTGGGCTTCTTTGTCTATTGTTTAGAATCTACTCTGTGCTATCTCTCATAAAATAAACTTGTTTCTCTAAAAGTATGATGAATAACTAACTGTTACTTGGGTTTTTAGTTGGATTTTTTGATAATTAAATCATCTTTTATTGTGTGTCTTCTCTTGATTTGAACCTTTACTGAGCTGGAATATAACTTCAAGATACCTCTGAAGAAGAAGTTCCGAGGACCAAAGTATTATTCTGGAGAAAAATATCTTCTTTAACAAATTATGCCAAGAAACTAATTATGCATGCACAGAAGAGTGAAGTATACACATCTTTTGATAAAAAAATGGATTGAAAATCTACGTATGAAAACAGAAATACTGAGTCTTCCAGAGTATAAAATAGGTAAATCTCTTAAAGATATAGGCATACACAAGAATTTTTGGAACAGAAGCCCAATTGCTGAAGAAATGACACCAAGAATAAAAAAGGGTTATCAAATTAAAAAGCTCCTGCACAGCAAACTAATGAAAAACAACCAGTGGAGTGAAGAAATAGCATACAGAAAGGGAAAATTATTTTTTCAACATATCTTCAGACTGAAGACTAGTATTTAAATATATAAAGAATTCAAAACTTAGCCCACTCAAAATAAAAAAAAATAATAGAAAGCAGGCAATTGAAATGAATAGATATTTCTTAGAAGACATTCAGTAAATACATAAAAAAATGTTTAATGTCTTTCCACTATAGAAATGGAAATCAAAACAACACTAAGATTCTGCTTACTCCAGAAAGAGTGACTTATCACCAAGAATTCAAAATAGCGAACACGGCATCTTTCCACATTGTTAGTGGAGACGTAAACTATTAAAACCACTGTACAAATCAGTATAGAAATTCCTCCAAACACCAAATAATGAATTCCATCTGACCTAGCTGTATATCTTTTGGATACCTTCTTGACAGAGTTAGGGACATCATATTACAATGATCACTGCATGCCCATCTAAATGGCAGTTAATACTTCTGTAATAGTTAATTTATAGAAGCAGCTTTTATGCCCATCAGCAGATGAATGGCTAAAGAATGAATCTATCTATCTATCTATCTATCTATCTATCTATCTATCTATCATCTATCTATCATCTACCCATTTATTTACCTATCTATCTATGACAAAGTACTGCTCTGCTATAAAAGAAACATAAATTTGAGTCATTTGTAGAAAATGGATCTTGAGACTATCATGCTAAATAAAATAAGTCAGACACAAAAGGATAAGTATTGTTTGTTTCTTTTATGTGAGAAACCTAAAATGTAAATAATTTAAAGACCAAAATAAAAGATGTTAGGCAAAAAGGGAGGTAGACATAGTGGGTGTCGAAAAGAGTTCTGAGGGGAGGCTTGCAGGGGAAGGAGCAGTAAAAACGATAAGACTTGCATATGTACCAATTATTAAAGAGAAAATGTAATTGTTACATATTGAAAACATATGCCAATTTCTAAAAGAGAAAATTCTGGAGAATGATTCCATGGTAGGTAAATATTCTTTGGCAGTAATTGGATATTAAATTTAGTGTCATAATAATCTTTCCTTGGGGTATTGACGGTAGTATGTTATTGTTTTCTAGTATTTCAGAGGAGACTTAAAATAAATGCCTGTTTTTTGTCCTTTGAACATAGGATTGCCAAAGAACATACAAGATGCTAAATAAATTCGAATGTAATCAACAAATAGTATTTTAGTAAGACTATGCTCCACATAGTGTGTAATAGTTTAGGAATATTATACTAATAAATTTTTCTTCATATCTCTAAAATTAACATCTGTGGCATCTGCATTTTTGTTTGCTAAATCTGTCAAACCTATTTGAAGGTAATTCCTTTTCCTTAAAAAACAATTTAAAGACTTATTCCTCACTCTTTCTGTTTTGAAACTACTTAAGATTTGCATAAAGATGGCTTTTTCAAAATCTGTTGTGGCTCAGCCCTTGAGGAATCTTACAATCGCTCTGAGACCAGGCCTACTCTTTCAGTATTTCTTTAGTAATTTTTTATTCCATTTTATTATTCTTCTGGAATCCTAATTAGCTTGATATTGGGCTTCCTGAATTAAGTCTTTATAGATCTCATCTTTTCACTTTCATTTTCCATGTCTACTCATTGTTTTATGTCTTAGAAATTTATTTATTTGGTATTCTATTCCAAAGTTTTGTGTAAATTTCTAAGAATGTTTTTGAATCTTCATGTCTTAATATCTTACCTTATATGTGTCAGTTCTTATGTCTCTTCAGGAATATATGGATTTTGAATTTTGTTTTTATTAAATTCTCCATCATTTCCTAAGTGATTTCTATATCTTTTAGGGTCAATTTGATTATTTATATCAATCTTTTCCTTTCAGGATGATATTTTATTTTTATGAGTCTGAAGATCACTGTTTAGTCACATTTAAGGATAAAGGACAAGGTAAATCACTGTAGGTAATGAATCCTGTTTCCTTTGTAATGTACATGTTCTCAAAGTAGAAAGGATGACAAGCAGCTGGGCATGTAGAATCTGGTAAGTGTGAGCATGTGAGGGATAGGGAGTCTCCTAGCTGCTAACCTAAGTAGAGTTCAAGGGTGCCAGTGCTAATGACTATTTCTTTTTTTTTTTTATTTTATTTAAGGAGAAAAAGAAAAAAAAACAGAGAAAGGGTACAAGTAATACAAAATTTTAAAAATTATCAGTAAGAAATCACTAGTTAATAGATTACATAGAATCTTAGAAACAGTTGTTCAAGTTACAAAATTAAAGCATATAAAGTGGACTTTCAAACAGTGAGACTGCAAACAGTTTTGTTCAGTGATCCAACAAAACTCAGTAATAAGGTTATTTATCTTATACACTCAAACATATATGCAGATATAACCTTTAGAGCACTTTCTTTTCTTTTCTTTTGTACAATGACAATTACATATTTTGGGTTTTATTACTCCCAGACTACTTTTTTTGAAGAGAGTAAAACCAAATGCGACATATCAGAACAGAGTTAGTCAAATCAAAAGGATGGACATAATAGATAATGTAAAAACAAAATACAAGGTGATCAACAATGGTTACAATAACACCTCTTGCTATCTTAAAAAGAATTGCCTATATCATCAGTTATAATAAAATTGAACAAAACAGTAAAGAATAAAACCAAAACATTGGAGACATTACAGGACTTTAAAAGAAGATAATAGTCAACCAGAATGGGCATCATAATGAATGTTCTTGTCTTCACAGTTGTTGCCTATACTTTCGAACTTGGTACTATCAAGCTAAGGAGAATAGGGGAAATCAGTCAAAACAAGATGGTGAGGGCAATACAGGGTTTCAAATCAAGTTAATAGGAAATCAAAGTAGGTTATTATAATGTATTCTGCTATTTTTTATTTATTTTCCCTTAATTAAAAAGATAAAAATAAAAAAATAAATAATTAAAAAAGGAGATTGAGATAAAAGAGGGCATAACAACAAAACAACACAGGTCAAAACATAATCATTTAAGCAAAATAGTGCTTCACCACAAGATATCCTGACATAAAAGTAGTTACCATAGCGTCTCTTTCCTTGAAATCTTTGAGTATAACTTCGTATACTGTAGCACCAAACATATCCAGACAATGTAAAACCACTCAAGAGAATGACACTATTACAGGGTATTTAGAGCCAACTAACAGAAAATGAACAATGGTTTCTGTATAATCTCCTTGTCTATAAAAGTTTTTGCTTATATTATCACATATAATAAAATCTAATAAAATACAACCTGTTAAGGCCAATGGAGACAGAAGAATAAAAGCTCGATGGGACTTCAAAACAAGATGATACTAAATTAGCACTAGCTATTATGATGTCTTGTTTTCTCCAAAATAGCTGTTCCTACCTTCCGATCTTCTCTGCCTCATTTCTGTTGAGCTCTTTTTCTGTCATTTGTTGTCAGTTTGTCTTCTTCATTTCTCTTTCTGCTCTATTCATTGTGGCCTCTCTGCCACTATTTCTGGAATCTTGGTATTTTCCTTTTTAGAATATCCTGCAGTATTCTCTGTAGAGTTGAATTGGTGGTTGCAAATTCCCCTAGTTCCTCTTTATCCTGGAAGCACCTTGTTTTTCCATCAATTTTCAGGGACAGTTGTGCAGGATATATCAATCTTGGCTGGAAGTTATTATCTTTCAAAGCTTGAATTATTTCCCCCCATGCTCTTCATGATTTGGTGGTTTGTGCTGAGAAGTCTGCAGTAATTCTGATGGGTGTTCCCTTGTGAGTGATCTGTTTCTTGTCTCTGATGACTTTTAGTATTCTGTTCTTATAATGGATTTCTGGAATTTTGATTATTATATGCCTGGGTGTAGCTCTGTTTGGATTGTAGGTGGCTGGGGTCCCGTAGGCCTCATATATCTGAGTATCTTTACTTTTTGCTAGATTAGGGAAATTCTCTTGGATTATTTCTGTGAATAGCTTTTGTAGTCCATTTGTTTGTGTCCCTACTTCTTCTATGTTCTTAATTCTTAAGTTAATAGATCCTCTTATCATCTTCTAGCCTTTGTATTATTGCTGTTTGTTTTCTTGTTATTTTTAAGAAGTTTTTCATTTCATGCTCCCACATTACAAATCTGTCCTCCAGTTCAGATAATCTATCCTTAGTTTCTTTCAAGCTGTTATGCCAGCTTTCAATAGAGTTTTTAGTTTCCTGGTAATTTCTTTGAACTTGCTTCATGTATTCTATGTTTTCTCTATTTTCTCCATCAAACAATTCTCCCCTTTTTTTCTGTTCTTCCATTCTACCACCTGTTTTTTCTTGGGCAGTGCTTAGCATTTCTCTAACTATTCTACTTATATCTTGCTTTAGGTCATTAATAACTTCATTTTTGAACTGGTCTATGAGGCTCTGGAGATATCGCTTTATGTCTGTTGGTGCTGTGTCTGATATTGCATGTTTCTCAGGATTGGGGGCCAAGGACCCTTTCTTGTTGCTCCTTCTTCCCATATTTTTTGTTCCTTCCATACAAGTGTGTATAGGAGTGCCAGTTTCTTTCTTTGTTGGTTACAGTTTGTTTGAATTGTGCCAGCTAGGTGTTCCTGCCCACTGCAGTGTACCTGAGAGACAGAGACCTGGGCAGCCTATGCTTGGCTCACCCATCCAGGTCAACCTACCAAAGGCTTCACTGCTAGGGTGCACCTCCGGGTGCTGGGACTTAGTTTGGGCTAGCCTACTGGATCTTAAGTCAGCGGCGACACCCAGGCCAGGCACTTCCCACCAATCCCACTTGAGAGGGGAATATGTGACTAAGGACCCTGCAACATCCTGTTCTGGCTAGTATGCCCAGTCCCAGTATGTTCTTTGGTGAAGCCTCCTACTCTATGGAAGGGTCCCCGATCTGCTCACTCACCGCAGGTCGATGCAGGGCTCCTGGCCAGTCCTGTTCTCAGCTCCATTCTCTGCTTTCCACTCTCTCCTTGAGGAGCTTTCGCACCTCTCTCTTTGCCATCAAGATTGGAATGCAGCAGCGGCTGCAGGAAATTCAAATTGCGGCTTCCAGTGGCACAGGCTCCAGCTTCCGCACTGAGACCTTATCTGTTCCTGTTATAGCACCGGGATTGTGTTTTCAATTGGTTTCTCTTAGTTTAGTTTGTTCCTGGGTTGGCAGGGTACATCTCCCCTTGCTTAGGACTTCTCGTTCCTCACCAGGAAAATTCCTCCTGGATTTTAAGTGGAGTATCTCAGAGAGCCTCCGTAGCTGCTGCTATCTATCCGCCATGTTCTCCCAGAAGTCCAAGGTCTCTGGCTTTCATCTGTTAGATCGTTGATACAGACATTCAGTTTTTGGAGGTTTGAGTCCACACTCAGTTGGCTCCAAGACAGACGGGCATGGCTGGGCCACAGTTCATGGCGGCTGCAAACAGCAAGCCGGAACCAGCAAAAGTGCTAATGACTATTTCTCCCTACAGAATTAATTCACTTACTTATTTTAGAGGGAGGGACATGTTTTTCCTCCTATGAGGTGAAGTCTTGGGTTCCAGAAAGGTGTGCCTGTCTCCTCATTTGGTTGTTCTGTAAACAATCTTTGGAATAACTTCTATCTTTGGTTTTCATTCCCATTCTTACAGTAGCCTCCTATTGGCTTTAAATCTGGAATTTGAATTCCTCTTGTAATTGTTCTGATCTGCAAATTATTTAACTTTATCTTTTTATTTTTCAGACATTTATTGAAGCCACGAATTAATCAGTGATTCCTTCTCCTTTTCTTCACTAGTACGGGGTTACTGTCCTACAGAGGTCCACTCTCAGGGAACTCTGGAGGAATGAAAGACAAATGGGTGTACTTGGGCTTGATCTTGAGTCAGAAATGCCTTCCTTGCATCTGCTTTTCATGATTTCCTCTTGAATGTCCTTTAATGAAATAAAGCACACTGAAATCCATACTCATTCACCACTCAAAAGCTGCAACTCATGTTTTTCTAAAAATAAATGTCTTAAAATAATACATCATATCTTTTGAAAAATAAAATGACAAACCGTGTGTGAATATACCTAGTACGTTGCCTAGAATGGACCATCTGATCTAAAAATATTATCTCTCTTTTCATTATTTTATTTTCAGATGATAAAGTTCAAGTGCATTTCTACCTTGTTGGCATAAAGATATATTGAGATAGAAGTGGTTTTAAAATAATGAAAATACCCTCCCATGCTTTGTGATGAGAGCCAAGAAATAATAAGAAAATTGTCATTAAGCATTTGGAATTCAGAGAAATTGAGAATTTTCTTTATTTTACTGTAGCAAACATCTTTCATTTTTAAAAAGACTACAGTAGTAAACTGTGGTTATTAAACTATAGATTTATTTAATTATGAAAATGCACTGTGATTTATATATGAGGCCAGTGAGGATCACAGGCCTTAAGAAATTTTCCCAGTGTTGTACAGCTCATAAGTCACAGAGCCAAAATTCAAGCCTGGATCTTCTGACTGCAAATGAGTACCCTTTCTTTTACAGCACAAATTTAAGATTTTTAAGAAGAAATTGAACATGTGATAAAATAGAGCTTATTGTATATATGAACATTAATAACTATGAATAATATTTCATTTGCAGTAAAATTGTATGCTTTAACAAGCCAAGTCATCAATGGTGAGATGCAGTTCTATGCCAGAGCAAAACTCTTTTACCAAGAAGTACCAGCCACAGAGGAAGGCATGATGGGAAATTTCATTGAACTATCCCACCCAGATATCCAGGCCTCGCGGGAATTTCTTAGGAAATTTGTTGGGGTGAGTTATCCAAGTGCAATTTGATGAGAGGGCAAAGTCCCTGGGAATATTGAGCTCACATAACTTTGTGTTGCTACTTAAGTTAGGATAAAGCTGTATGGCTCAGCTCAGGGGTCAGCCCAAAATCCTGTTTTAAGATACTCAGAAGAGCCAGATCTCATCAAACCCCTGGTTTATCACATTTGGCCTTTCACCCTCCCTACACCAGCTAATCTTACACACTGCAGGGGAAGGTGAATTAACAGGACTGTTATTACTATTTGAGGAGTAAAGTGACCCTTCTTTCAGAATCTCAGAGATAAACAATTGATAACCAGATGACTGATAAGAAATCATGATTTGAGATTTGGAGTTGACTTACTAGTCCCCACAATAAGAATTTGATATAGTGAAAAAATGCATGCTTATGTTCAGTTTAAGGATGACAGTATCTTTTGTGCTCTTTTACACATAGTTCAGATTTTTCTTTGGAGGAACATGAGTCCTTTATAATTTTGATTTTGAGTGAACCTCTACTTCCTTCCTTACAAGTCGCATGGAGACAGACAGTAGAATGTAGAGGCTAAAATCTTGCGTTAAAGTCATAACACTTCTTTCACTTACTGTGTAAGCAACTCTGGACTTGTTATCTAAATGCACGGAGCCTCAGTTTTCTCACCTGTGATTAGGGACCAACATTAGAACTTACCTATAACAGAGTGTGAGATTAAATAAGATAAAACAATGTGAAGCAGTTTCATGGGTGCACAAAATTAGCACCCAGGATATCTAATTTATTGCTACTATTACTAATAATGAGATGATGTATAATGTATTATTATTGTTATTGTTATTTTGTACTAGGAATTGAACCCATGATTTTTGCACTGAGCCATATTGTTTTCTATATTGAGATATGCTCTAGCTAAGTCACTAAGTTGCCTTGGATTCTTTCTGCCTCAGTCTCCCAGAATGCTAGTATTACAGGTTTGTGATACCACACCTGGCCTATTCATTATATGTTAAGGAATTTTACTTGGTTGTTAGAATAGACTTAACCCTACCAATAAAGTTGCTGCTGGTTTAAGAGAAGATAAAATTCTTAAATGACTCATCAGTCATTTATATGAAGCTTGGGGCCTATTTTGTTCTGATAATGGGAAAGTTTTGGAGTTAGGATATCCCTCCACTCAAAGGGATAGTATGAAGACTAGCCCTTGTGTTAAGGTGAGGTTTGCTTCATGCCCAACCTCCTTGGTGCGTGCAGGGCCTGGGTCCCAGGTCTGGCAGTAGAGAAATCATAAACAAGATAGAATGTCCACTGGGACAAAGTGTCTGTGTGGACATCAGCTGCTGCCATAAAGCACTGGGGAGTCTAGGGATGGTGACCACGGATGTTTACCAGTTGGGGTGATCTGGGGTGTTTCTAAACCAGTGCTGCTGATTTTCTGGAATGCTCATCCCAACGTGACCAGTCACTCTGCTAAGAAGCTTAGAAGCCCTGTCTCATTTATTCTTCACAGCAGTTCTTAAAAGTAAGTACTGTTATTAGCCCTGTTTTTATAGTCATGGAAACTGGGGCTTAAAGAGGTTAAATTAGTTGTCAAGGTTATGTACTGGTAAGAGACAGAACCAAAGCTTATGACCAGCCAGCTCTGCCTAATGTCAAACTCCCTGCTCTTAACCACGACATATTTTTTCCATTTGCCTCATGAAGCAGAAAAGTACCTGTTTTTTTTTTTTTTTTTTTTTTTTTTGACTATAGACCTCAACTCTCCTCCAATCTGGCCCAAGCAATCCCTCCTGCTTGCCTCATGGTGAGGCTGACTTTGATCCCAGAGCATTTCAGAAGCTTAGTTAGTAATCCAGCCGTCTTGTCACTCCACGTGGAATGCCAAGCTGACCACAGGGAAGCTGGTCAGACGGAGCCCAGGAGCGTGGCCACGGACCTGGGAAAGGAAGTCTGTGCTTGCATATTTATGTTGGAAAAGAGGCAGCTGCTCCTTTCAAACAAATTTAAGGAGTGACTCTCAGCAGACAAGGCTGATTGTACAGCCGTGACCTCTAACTAAGTATAAACATGGTTTTTTAAAGGAATGATATTTTAGTATGTTGACCTTAATGATCTGCTAAATTCGTATCTGGGTCAAGAAATAAAAAGTTAGGGAATATGAGCATCGACATGATTTATTCTCAGGACAACTTAGAAGAGGAAGATTGTTTAATTTAAAATTTTGCTTTCCTTTTGACATTTGCTGACATGGAACAGTGGGAAAATTGTTTAATCTAGTTGCAAATGTATTTACTTTAGCAAATAAATAAATAGCATAATATCAATGGCATAGCTAATAACTTTCCTAGCTTTTTTTTTTTTTTTTTTTTTTTTTTTGGTGCCTGGGATCAAACTCATGACCTCGTGTTTGCCAAGCAGGCACTTACGGCTCTGAGCTAAACCCCCAGCCAACTTTCCTAGCTTTCAAGTGGGGAAAAGAAGCAATTCATAAAATATAATCACTTGTTTGCATTCAATTTTTGACATTTCTGAGGGATCGGATGACTAAAACATCTGAATCTAACGTGTTATATTTCATGACTTTTATACAGTGCCATCAAGTTCTGTCATTTTAGTTTTTAATTCCATTAAAATACTACTCTGAAACAAAATACTTACATAGAATCACTAAAATAATTACATGCATCCATAAATATTAAAATAATGCAATACACGAAAATGGAACATATTGTTTTGAAATCACACCTTGTGTATAGTTCTGGTCACATCAGTACAAGAGCAACAGATGTCAACACAAACATAGCTTCTGCAGCTGCGGTACCCAAGAGGTGAGCAATGCAGTCCCTGAGGTCAGTCTTCCAGTGTCCCTTCTCAGAGGAGCAGCTTGTGAAAGAGACAAAAGAAATGCAGTGGTGCCAAAACATAGGAGGCCGTGCCTGCCACATTAAAGGAAATGGCATGAGGAGAACCGGCCAGTAGTGGGGACAGACTGGAGGCCGCAGCATTTGAGTGAAAGTGTTTTCCTTTTTTGTTGATTGTAAATAGCAGTACTTTCAAGAATAACTATAGTTGAATATTATACATTATTGGTGAAAAATATTATTTAGAGGGCAAAAACCTTCAAGGATGTTGTACTTCAAACATTTCATCTTTCCAGGCCCCAAGTTTCTTTGGAAAAGCAGGAGAATGAAACACCAGTGATTTAAAAGCTGTAGAATTTTTCTGAGGTTCATTAAGAGCTCCTTGGAGAAGGATGAGAAGGCTCAGTGGGCAAATCCCGGCCTCACTGTAACCAGAGCAGCTTCATGTTTATGTATTCTGTGAAAACAGAAGAGCTCAACCTTCACAGTCTTGAAATCCTCTAGCCTAGATCTCTTAGGTCTCCTTGTTTTATTCCATGGTTCTACTTCTAAAACCACCTGCTGTACTAATGAGAACAACATGGTCAATATGGACTTTTGGAGCCAAGTAATTGCATGAAAAATTAATCATGAGAATCTTTTATAGAACATATAAATTTCTAACAAAGTCACTTCTCGTGGTCTCAAGTAATTTCTCTATTCTTTCCCTCATCTTATATTATGATTTCACTTAAAACATACTGATTTTTCAGTACTGTGCTTACAACCTATACTCTGATTTAGGCCCTTTTCTGAATTAGTTTAAATTGTGATATTTGAATGAAGGAAGCAGTATAGTATAAGTAGAAATGATGAAACGTATGGCAGTATACTACTGCTCCCCTTCCTTTACTTAGGCAGACATCACTAATCAATCAATCATAGATCCCTTTCCTTATGAGTAAAAATAAGTCAGACACACAAGCACAAATACCATATGGTATTTGTCATTTGAGTAAGGTAAGGTACAAACAAAGAACTTAATAAAGGATAGACAAAAGGAAATAAGGGAACAGATCTCTAGCAAATAGGGAGTGGTCTAGGAGACTGAGGGAAATGGGAGGGGAAGAGGAGGTGAGAAGAATTAAGATATGTTACATACAGGAACCTAATAACCTCAATGAATGTAAATACTACGTGGCATAAAAATGAGGTAAGAATAATAATAACAAGAATGAAAATGGGGAAAGGAGATTTAGAGGCAGAAAGAGAAGTGAGTAGGAAGGGGAAGGGGGTTAAAAAATGAACAAACTGTATCATGTTCACATTCTTATTCCCCAAAAGTAACCTTCAGGCACTACAGATGCACCAATAATAAAAAATAAAATTTTAAAGCAGATTTCTTTTTCATATAGCATTGGACAGTATCAAGGGAATCATTGTTGTCACTTGAGGTGACATTCCTCATGACCAGCTGACTATGAATGCAGTCAATTTCTGTCTAAATTGTAGTTATGCTATTAACTATGCAACATTGCAGTCCAAGTTTTCTCATTTCCAAAGTGGCAACGGTAATCATCCTTGTGTATTTTTTTAAAAAAGTTATGATAATTACTGTAGCTGTAAAGATCTTGTTACACATAAACACTCACTTGTAGTTACTTTTCTGTTTGAAAAGAAGCTGCTGTCCTCTCACTGTTTTCTTCATTGAACCTTCCTAGCAGAAAGAAAGCCTTTTGGATAGACCTGAAGGCAGATTTTTGGATGTTTCGCTCTGCTCATCTTAACTTTGATGCTTAGCCAATTATTTCAATTCTTAGTTCCTGAGAAATCAAGAGTAGGATTTCTCATTAAGATCTTGATTTGTAACCTAAGGTATCTCATTACTGTAATTTCTACCACGAAACCTATTCAGCAGTCAACCCAGTTATGACCAAATAATTTAGACCAGCTGAATCTCCATAACGCAGAAAGTTTTTTTTTTTAACTGGGTAGAAGTGAGTTTGAAAAAGTTTGCATTGGCTAATTTTTCACTACCCTCACTTCCTCTTCAATGTCTTACTCTCAGTTATTTAATGCACAGATTTACTTTAAAGACATTTCCAGTAAACATGTAGTTTCTGTACAAAGAGTCGAAAACTTTTGGCATTAAAGGAGACAAGGAGGTGGCTGGAATTAATCTTCGTTCATGTAGCATGCTGTGTGCTATAAGGGATAAATGTGAAGTTTACAATCCTGGCCAGAGAATGGAGCAATTAGAATCTTCAGCTAAGATCCCCAAATTTGCCATTTCACATAATAGGAGATAATTCAGAGTCCCAAAATCTAGTTTAAATAAATAAAACTTGTCATTCCAGTATGACTATTTCAATTTATAAAACTCAGGAAGTAATTTTAAATCTCAAAATGATTCTCACTTCTTGTCAGCCCCTTATTTTTTTTTAAACAGAATACAGTGGAGGTCTACCTAACTGTGGCCTTAACCCAAATTATAGTCATCAAAATCCTATCTTCATCGAACTACCAATGGCTCACTTATCCTACTTCTTGGAGAAAATCACCAAATGTTTAAACTTAAGATATTACTTTAAAAATAGTAGTTTGTAACTCTGTTAAAGCCCTATATTTGGGTAAAATGAAATAGAACTAGAAATATTTGGATAGTTGGGGGGAAAAGTAATTAAATGTTTTAGATCATGACTTTGGTAATGATGGTTATAAACATTTGTTCAAACTCATTGTATACTTAAAATGACACATTATGGTATACACAATTGATCCACATAAAGTCAATGGACAGAGGCTACCTGGGGTATCTGCCACTCAAGGTGAAGCTGTGTACCTGTGTCCCACAAGGTACCTTTCTGCAGGGCCCTGGAAGAGCAGGAACTGACTACGCCCTGGACTGTGGCTCTGGGATAGGAAGGGTCAGCAAGCACGTCTTGTTGCCAGTTTTTGACAGAGTGGAACTGGTTGATATGACGGAATCTTTCCTGCTTGAAGCTCAGAACTATCTTCAGGGCAAGGTGGACAAGGTAGAAAGCTACCACTGCTACGGCCTGCAGGAATTCACACCCCCGTTCGGGAGATACGACGTCATCTGGATTCAGTGGGTGTCGGGTCAGTCCTGCATGGTGTTGTCTGTGTCCTTCCCTGCCTCTCCACTATGGGGGACAACACTGGGGTGGATGAGGACATGGGGGAAATTAGCTTATCTGTGCGTAGAACAGGTAGCTATCCCTAGGTGCCATGTGAAATCCTACTAACTCTGGCCCCCAGATTTCTCCCCTAATACTCTATGGACAAGATTAACAATTAAATTCCATCCATAGGGATGGAGCAAGTGTCTTTGAACCAACTTAAATCCTTGAAGAAACATACTTAAACATTAAACAGCTGGATCCAGGAATGGCTAATCTCCATTTGTTGGCAGAGCTAGACATTTTTAGATTTCAATTCCCAGGAAAGAGACGGATGTGAATTTGATTGATGGTGGTGATGGTATTTTTGGTGGTGGTGGTGGTGGTGGTGGTGTGTGTGTGTGTGTGTGTGTGTGTGTGTGTATACCATGGAAGAATCATATTGGAACAGAGCTGTCCAAGAGACATAGAGGGACTCATGAGTCGGACAGTATCTCATGTCTGTAGAGGACATGAGATACTGTTTAAATTTCAAAAAAAACCCCTTACAACTAAAACAATTTAGGCTATGAAACAATGTGAGGCCGGGCAGCAACTAGGCAGGCTTCTGATTCTGAGCCCTGTGTTCTTTCCTACTTACTTCCCTCCCTCCTCTTCTTTCAACCTGTTTCTCATTTGACCCCACCTCTAGGACACTTAACTGATAAGGACCTGCTAGCATTTCTTTCCCGGTGCCGAGATGGCCTGAAAGAAAATGGCATCATCATACTGAAGGACAATGTGGCACGGGAAGGCTGTGTCTTTGACCTCTCTGACAGCAGTGTGACCCGGGACATGGACATCCTCAGGACTCTCTTTAGGAAGAGTGGGCTGTTGGTTCTGGGCCAGGAAAGACAGCAGGGCTTTCCAGAGCAGTGCATTCCTGTGTGGATGTTCGCACTGCAGCGTGACAGACTCTCCTGAGCAGCGGAGAGTGTGGACATCCAGATGGGGAAGTGGTGCTTCGGGACAGGATGCCTCCTGCAAGGTGCCTCTTGGAATGCAAGCAGGCATGGAGAGAAGGGAAGGGACTCAATGCACGTTGGGAAATGATTGGTAATGCATGTACAGGTTTTTGGTGATGACCTAATATACACGCGGATATACACATACTTGGAAGTGCACATCTGTAAAACTCTGGACTTTCTAAAAGACAGAGTGAAGCATCAGGAATAGTGCTGTAAGAAATCGCTTGTAGAATTAAAAAATGTTAAGGAAGGGAAGGGAATTGCATGGACGGGAAGGGGCATAGATTGGGTAATAGGAAGGTAGATATTATAGAAGTACATTATTGGCATGTACCAAAATGCTGAAAAGAAACCATTATATTGTTCAACTAACGTGCTAATAATAATAAACAAATAAATTCCTTGTATACACCTGAACTGTACAAATATGCAGACACAGCCTAAATTGTCTTATTTACTGGCACTTTGTGCTGTCCACTAGTTCAAGACAGATGGGGAAAAACTCGACTGCTTTGGTGCCCCATGTCAGCTTCCTTTCCCAGTGGTGCTATTGCTTCTCCTGGACAAGCAACTTTCCCCAATTAAGAATGCACGCATCCAGTGAGCTTCTGAAAATAAGCCTCGTAGTTTTGTCTTTAACCTTTCTCTAGGGGGAAGAGGTACACGCTTTCACTTTCTATTTTGGGTCCATTTTACTACCCAGTGATGCAATATGGATGTAATTTGGTAACAAGAGCCTGCATTACGGTGGTAGGAAGTGTTTCATTCCGGGAGAGAGATGCCATGCCCTGAGGTTTCAGCCTTGAACTTATAAGTAAATGGCACTGATCATCTAATTTTAGCCACTGACTTCAGCACTGCCCACACGTAGCTGCTCCTGTGTCCCTTATTGAATGAATGTACACGTGTTGGAAAGAGACTCACCAAGGGAAATGGGCAAGGAAGTGATGAACTGAAAATTGAACCAGCTGGATTAATATAAGTTGGTTTAATTAAAAATAAAGTACTATTCTCCCATAAAGGAGGATGAACTTCCCATAAAAGAGTTGTTTGTAAGAAAAAGGGTGCAACTTGAGACCCTAATGTTAAGTGAAATAAATCAGATCTATGAGCTTGAATATCACATGATTTCTATGAGAAGCCCAAAGTAATTTAAAAAGCAAAATGAAAGATAGCTAACAGAAAATGCAGAGATAAATATTTTCCAAGAGATAGAGGAAGAGGGCAGGGAGGGTTGGGGAAAGGATGAAAAAGGACTTCTGATGTATTTGCGTATGTACCAACTCCCCACTCCCAATGAATTCATTATGTACCACAAATATGTACTAAAAATTTTTAAAATCTAAAACCTTTCAAAAATAAAAGTGTGTCTTAATTTTTATTAACAGAACATTTAAATATAACTGCTGTCACCTTTAAAGATTCCAATCTCTTTGTGCTTAAGCAGATATTTCTGGTTTGATATTTACTGAGTCTTCCATTACATTCTAGGAGTCAATTGAGAAGGCTACTGCATGGCTCTGCTGTCACCATTAGAATCACATTGTCAAGGCATAGTTCTAATTTCATTTTTTTTAATTTAAAGTGAAAAAAGAGAGGAAATAAAAAACAAAGCAGTAAAAGAGTACAAGTAGAAAGAATTTCAAGAAAAAAAATATACAGTAAGAAATCACTAGTTAATAGGTTACATATTGTCATCTTAGAAACAGTTGTCCATATTATAAAATTAAAGCATATAAAGTGGACATTCATACAGTGAGATTGCAGACAGTTCCGTTCAGTGATCCAACAAAAGCTCAGTAATACGGTTTTCAATCCTACACACTCAAACATACATGCAGTTATATCCCTTAGACCACTTTCCTTTCCTCTCTTTTTTTACAATGACAATTACACTTTTTGGGTTTTTTTACTCCCACAGTTCTTATTACTTTTTCTGAAGAGAATGAAACCAAATGCGACTAAACAAAACAGAGTCGGTTAGAACAGAAGGATGGGCGTAGTACATGATGCAAAAATAGAATACCAGGTGATTAAAAATGGTTACCATTGTGCCTCTTGCTATTTTTAAAAAGAGTTGCCTATATCATCAGGTATAATAGAATTGATCAAAACAGTACAGAACAAGACCAATAAAACCTACACTGGAGACCTTACAGGACTTCAAAAGAAGATAATAGTCAAACCATAATGGGCAACATAGTAAATCTTATTGCCTTCAAAGTGATTGCCTATACCATCAAACTTGATACTATCAAACAAAATAGAATATAGTAAAATCAGACAGAACAAGATGGGGAGAGCAATACTGGGGTTCAAATCAGGTTAATAGGAAAACAAAAAAGTTACTATAATATATCCCGCTATTTTTAAATTTAATTTTCCATTAATTGAAAAAAAATAAGAAAAAATAGGTTAATTTAAAAAAAGGGGGGGGGGGCGGAGGATTGAGATAAAAGAGGACATTGTAATTGTGACGGAACAACATAGGTCAGAACCGAACAATTTAAGCATCATTGTGTTTCACCACCAGATAATCTAACATAATAGTAGTCACCATAGTGCCTCTTTCCTTGAATTATTTGAGTATAACTTCGTGTACTGTAGCATCAAGCATATCAAGACAGTGTGAAGCCATTCAAGAGAATGAAAGAATTACAGGGTATTTAGAACCAGCTAACAGAAAACGAACAACGGTTTCTATATTATCTCTTTGCCTATAAAAAATTTTGTTTATACTATCGCATATAGTACAATATAGAAGATACAACATGTTAAAATCAGTGGAAACAGATGTACAACAGTTTGATGGGACTTCAAAACAAGATGATATTAAATCAGCACTAGCTTTTATGATGTGTTTTTCTTCAAAATAGCTATTTGTACTATCACAGATACTAAAATTGAACAACCCAGATTAAAACCATTCGATTAATGAGTGAAAACATTATATGGCTTCAAACAAATATGATTAGGAATCATGATTACCACATACTTTTATGTTTTCTTTTCTTTCTTTCTTTTTTTTTTAAATTTAAGAGGAAAAAGAGAAAAACACAAAACAAACCAAAGCGGCGTAAGGGTACACGCAATACAGAACTACAAAACAAAACAAAACAAAACAAAACAAAAAAAAACATAACAGTAAGAAATTACCTGCTAGTAGATTACACACTATCTTCTTGAAAATAGTTCCTCAAATCACAGTATCAAAGAACACAAGGTGGACATTCAAACAGGGAGACTGCAAACAGCTGTGTTCAATGTTCCAAAAACATTGATAAAGTCAGCTATTTAACATCCCCGAAACACACTTGCTGTTATATCCGTTAGAGCTCTTTTTCTTTTTTTTTTCCCTCTCTTTTTTACAACAAAATTTACACACCTTGGATTTTATTACTCCTTAGTGCTTATTACTTTCTTTGGGGGGGGGGAAGAATACAGTCAAATATGGCAAAACAAAGCTGTCAGTCAATACCAAGGATAGACATAGCACATGGTGTAGAACAGAGTACAAGTTTATCAACAATGGTTATCAACGTTGTCCCTTGTTTCCTTAAAAAGAATTGTCTATCTTATTAGATATTATAAAGTTGGACAAAACAGTAGAGAACAAGACCAATAAAACTTAGGCATTGTAAACATTACAGGACTTCCAAAGAAGACAATAGTCAAACCAGAATGGGTATCTTAGTGAATCTTATTGTCTTCAAAGTAGTTGCCTATGTCTTCAAACTTGATACTATCATATAGAATGGAACAGAGTCTTATCAGTCAAAACAAGATCGTGGGAGTACTACAGGACTTCAAAACAAGTTAATAGGAAATCGAAAAGTTACTATTTATATATCCTAATTTTTTTGAATTTTTTCTTTAATTCAGACAAACATAAGAAATGACTAAATAATTTTTTTGGAAACAATAAGGGGGAGATTGAGATAAAACAGGACGTAACAATATAACAATAGAGGTCACAGCATGACTGTTTCAACAACCTAGTACTTCACCACCTTATAACCTGACTTAATAGTAGTTACCATAGTGTCTTTTTCCTTGAAATATTTGGGTAAAACTTCATATACTCTAGCTTCAAATATTTTCATATCAAGAAGCCCAGAATAAAGCCTTTCTAATTAATAAGTGAAAACTTTATAAGGCTTCAAGGCCACCTAATGGGGAATCATGATTACCACATATTTTTATATATTTGAATCATTATTTACATTAGGGAAACTATTCGGTATTCACACATGCGAGATTGATTTATTTCACTAATGAGTATGGTCTCAAGCTGCGCCCATTTATTGATAAATATCTCAATGTGATCCTTCTTTATAGCTGAATAATACTCCATTGTATAGAAATACCACAACTTTTTTATCCATTCCTCAGTTGATGGGCACTTGGGTTGTTTCCAAGATCTGGCGATTACAAATTGTGCTGCTATAAACATAGGTGCACATATATCACTGTGGTATGATGCTTTCAGTTCTTCTGGGAATATGCCTAGAAGTGGAATAGCTGGAATAAATGGGATTTCCAGTCCCAACTTTTTGAGAAATCTCCAGACAGATCTCCACAAAGGCTGTACCAGTCTACACTCCCACCAGCAGTGCAGGAGAGTTCCTTTTTCCCCACAGCCTCTCCAGCATTTGTTGTCGGTTTTCTTGATCCTGGCCATTCTTTCAGGAGTGAGATGGTATCTCAGTGTGGTTTTAATTTGCATTTCTCTAATGACCAATGATGGTGAGCATTTTTTCATGTATTTATTTGCCATTTGCATTTCTTCATCTGAGAATTGCATATTCATCTCAGATGCCCATTTTTGGATTGGATCTTTGAATTTCGGAGGTCTGAGTTTCTTTAATTCTTTATATGTTTTAGACAAGAGGCCCTTGTCTGAGAGAGAGTTCACTAAAATCTTTTCCCAGTTTGTGGGTTTTCTTTTCACTATGCTGGAGATTTCTTTTGACATGCAGAAACTTTTTAATAAGAAGTGGTCCCAGTTATTGATTCTGGGAAGTATTTCCCAGGCAGTTTGAGTCCTGTTCATGAATTCTTTACCTACTCCTATGTCTCCAAGGTTTCTACCTATTTTGTCTTCCAATAGATTTAGTGTTTCTGTTTTAATATTCAGATCTTTGACCCATTTAGATTTTAATTTAGTACATGGTGATAGACATGGGTCTAGCTTTAGTTTTCGGCAAATGGAGAGCCAGTTTTTCCAGCACCATTTATTAAAGAGACTGTCGTTCTTCCAGTGAACCTGCTTGGCTCCTTTATCAAAAATAAGGTGGTTGAGTGTGTTCGTAGTTGTGGTTGTATCTTCTAATCTATTCCACTGATCTTCAGCTCTGTTTTGATTCCAATACCATGTTGATTTTACTACTGTTGCTTTGTAGTATAACTTCAAGTCAGGGATTGTGATGCCTCCTGCTT